TAAAGACGCAACTTTTGTAGTTGGAGAAAGAAAGCCTGACAAAAACGAAAAATTCAGGCTTGCCGGGATTCGAACCCTGACATCTGCGATACTGGTGCAGTGCTCTAACCAATACGTATTAGGGACCTTAAGGTGACTCGACCCAGTTTTTTTTTTTTGGGGGGGGGGGGTACCATCCTACTTTGAAGCTCTCTGGTATCCCCACCTTTACTTTTATCGTAAGTCTAACACATAGAATGGATAACATATAGATCAATCTACAATATAACATAAAATGTTTGGCGATCGGAGTAAATTTCACGTGGTTATAATGCCACGCCCCTTTAAGGTCTAAGTCAAAAATCTGCTGTTGCCGGCATTTTTTCGTGAAAATCTCTCGGCTACACATAGTGCGCATTAGTGACTTGCGCCGAACAGAGTTTCACCAAAATCGCAAAGACCCAATTCGAGAAATTCATCGGTTTCCAGATTTAGGTCATAATTTATGCGAAAATGATAAGCAAACCGTTTTACACGATTATATCCAATAAACTATGAGATTCATCCCTTTATTTTGGGCATCGTTATAACAGATGGGTCCTTGCAAGTCAGCAAAACGCTTTAGGGCCTTGTAAATGCGCGCGATTTCGAGCAAAGCAAACATAAAGAAATTATAGTTTTCGCTATTTGTTGACGTTTGTCAGCATTTAAGAGTCCTTCTCAGGGAAAAGCATTTTCTTAAAAATTCGTAGTTTTTTTTCCTTCAAATTTTTTCAGGGCCACAATTGATTAACTAACTACCTGGACTCTGAATTTCATGGTCATTGAAAAACTGTGACATTATCTTCTATAAGCCCAAACTTGAGTAAACATTGAAGATTTTTAGCGTTTTGGCTGAGTTTGTGCTTTGGGAGTTGTCTATTGTTTCTAGTCTGTCATTATACAGCATTCTTGTTCAGCACGCGTGCAATGACCGCGCTTGGCTGACTTCCGAATGCTCACCGAGATATGATAATTTTGGTACAGTGAGACAGGCCATCGCGTGATACATAGAGGTTTAACTCACAATTTTTAATCAATTCTCGTGCTTCTTGTGCCTTTGCAAAAAAATCAAGAAGTGCTACACACTAAATCTACTTACTATTAAAAAAGTATCATTTTTTCATAGGTTTAATGCAAGCCAATAATTAAACCAACTCGTGACGGGAATCCCTTCTATTTCCTCAAACTAAATTATCATATCTCGGTGAGCATTCGGAATTCAGCCAAGCGTGGTCATTGCACGCGTGCTGAACAAGAATTGACAGACTAGAAAAAATAGACAACTCCCAAAGCTCAAATCTTCAATATTTACTCAAGTTTGGGCTTATAGAAGATAATGTCACAGTTTTTCAATGACCATGAAATTCAGAGTCCAGGTAGTTAGTTAATCAATTGTGGCCCTGAAAAAATTTGAAGGAAAAAAAACTACGAATTTTCAAGAAAATGCTTTTTTCCTGAGAAGGACTCTTAAACGCTGACAAACGTCAACAAATAGCTAAAACTATAATTTCTAAATGTTTGCTTTGCTCGAAATCGCGCGCATTTAAAAGGCCCTAAAGCTTTTTGCTGACTTGCAAGGACCCATCTGTTATAACGATCCCGAAAATAAAGGGATAAGTCTCATAGTTTATTAGATATAATCGTGTAAAGTTTGCTTATCATTTTCGCATAAATTATGACCTAAATTTGGAAACCGATGAATTTCTCGAATTGGGTCTTTGCGATTTTGGTGAAACTCTTTTCAGCGCAAGGCACTAATGCGCACTATGTGTAACTGAGAGATTTTCACCAAAAAAATGCCGGTAACAGCAGATTTTCGGCTCAGACCTCAAAGGGGCGTGGCATTATAACCACGTGAAATTTACTCCGATCGCCAAAAATTTTATGTTATATTGTAAATTGATCTATATGTTATCCATTCTATGTGTTAGACTTACGATAAAAGTAAAGGTGGGGATACCAGAGAGCTTCAAAGTAGGATGGTACCCCGCCAAAAAAACTGGGTCGAGTCACCTTAAGATCAGTCAACGGCGGATGTCTACGACGGCGGGCGGAAGTTTGAAATGCGTGTTTACCTACTTCCGGTAGTCGTTGCACGTCAATTCCCGCCGTATACAGCTATTTCGAGAAAGGGTGTCGTAGCCAAAATTTGCATTGGCGAAATTTCGCTTGCAATAGAAACGGTTTGTAATGATCGGATAGTTGTGTACATGCACATGTAATTGCTTAAAGCGAAGTCTTCAAATTGAAAGGTCAATGATGTTGGTAATCTTTAAACCTACGAAATGGAATGAAAATGAATCGTTTCATACCCCTTTATCACTTCACTGGCATATTTTCAAGCGGCGAAAATAGTACCTATTTACTCCAAAAGTTAGGTTCGGCACATGTAAAGTTCGACGACTGAATCAACCGTCGAACTTAATCATTTGGGTCGACCCAAATAGGTATTAAGTTCGGCACATGAAAAGTTAGACCTTTGAACCAGGCCTGACAGTTGTTTGTCTTGTTCAGTAGAAGCCGTTGAACTCGTATTAGAATGGATGTGGCATGGAACACAGAGTCTTCCCTCAGTACCTCACAACCTTATCCCTGTACGCGGGCTCGTTACCCATAGAAAAAAAAAATACATATAAGAATTTAATAGCCAACCTGTTATGTTACAATAGTTGAGAAAGTTTTTGCTCTATGGAAAACGGAACGCATATAAAACACTAAATACCCTAGGGAGCCACCTTAAAAAAAGTGTTTAGATGACTCATGATGTCAACCTTTTTGGAAATCATAAGTGACAGTAAAAAAAATGTAGTAATGAAGTTTCTTATTGGTCAACAACGGAAACGTTAACAGCTTATTGAGTGCCAATAGAGGCTATACAATGTAGTACCGAAGCTTCTTTGGAAAAGCGAGGAAGCTTGAAATAACAACATATGCGAAATGGCTGCAGCCGGACAAAATTATTGTTAACCATATGAAATTGCTTGTGCAATTTTAACTTTCGAGACATCACTTGTACTATAAATAACGACATTTATTTTTTTCCTTAGTTAGCGAGCGGGCGGTTTTTTACGATCTTGCCCGCTAATCCGAGCGGAATCGTTGGAAGCTTGTTTGTTGTTTGTGAATGAACAAAAACCATCATTTTCAAACCATTTTTCTCTTAAAACTTGCGCTATTATCAGTATTAGCTAGGAAAAAGTGAATTTTATTATTCAGACAAAAAACATGAAGGGAGAATCAAGCAAGTCAGCCAGGAAAACCGCTAAAGTAAAGCAAAACAGATGGCTCGTGATGTCGCTTCACTAGCTTTATAACCTACGCTGTAAGGACTGCAATCTTGCTTTTATGCACTCTTTTATTGGACATGTTTGTTCTGCTTGTAGTTTTGTTTTCCATTTTTGCTGTATGAATCTAGATTCTGCCGTTTATCATTGAATTTTGCCTCGCTAGTTTTCTACTTACCAGAAAAGGTTGTAGTCAACGGTTGTATTTAACTTTCAATCTTAAATAAACAACACGAAAAACTTTCCAGAAGTCGGTTATCGCCGTTTTCATTTCTTTGTTCATAACTTGTTACTCACATAGTCTTCTTTTATTCGAATTCAATTTAAAACCTTAAAATTGGTATGTGTAATTAGCTCTTTTTACAAAGCCTTTGTGCAGTTTTCATCCCACTCGATTGAACTAATCTTAAAGCAATTTTTGATTTATTCAGCTGAAGAAAATCCTTGCTGTATTTTTGTCCTGGCGCTTTTAACATTAAACTCCTCAATTCTTTAATCCTTGTTTGACACTCAGATTATGAATTGTCTAGCAAGATACAAAAACCTTTCTTTATTCTAAAAGAGACCGGAAGTGAAATAATGTAAAATTACCGAGCTGAAAATCATGTTGTAACGGTTTGTTTTGGTTTGCAATCGATCGCGCGCTTCATCAACACGAACTCGTACTACTTCAACACACATAGGTTGGAGAGTTATTCACTGGCCTAGGTCGGTCCGTATTGGGAGAAACTGTGCTCTCGGTCTGAGTACCGCTCTCGGCCTACGGCCTCGGGCGGTACTCAAGTTCTCAGGCACAGTTTCTCCCAGTATGGACCTCCCAGCCGGCAAATAACATATATGTACTCGAACTCATTCGATTTTGTATACTTAACACATTTATGGTTTATAATTTATTACATTTATGGTTGACATTTATTACATTTGTGGTTATCGTTACATTTATGGTTGATTATTACATTGATGGGTGATGCATTTGTGGTCAATTATAACATTTGTGGCTTTAACCCTCTCTCCCTTGGAGACTTGGGAACCCTTTCCTGAGGGTTCCATACTTTTAACGCCTGTAATGCTACAAAGGTTGCTTGGTAAATCTACTGTTTTATATTCTTTTCTTTAAAAAGGACCTCAGTAAATTTTACATGAAAGCTGGATTATCCTGCCTAAGAAATTTAACTGTTTAGTTAAAAAGACGTTAAGAATCAAACTCAACGTATTTTTCCTCAAAGTTAAGAAAAGAAGGGCATGGAAGACATGTTCGAGATTCTACAGACCATTCACGCGTCGGTCTGAGATTTCCCTGTAACGACCTCATTCTCGGTTAATAAGTAGTATATAACAACGCTGAACATTTCACGTGTGACAATATCAAGTTTTCGCGCGAAAGCTCACCTGGTATTTCTTTGGTGTTTATATAATAAATCATTTATTAGTGAATTTCGTGGTAAACAGTAAGTTACAAACTACTCTGTAAAACTATTTTTTTAAATATTCTGCATTTGCACATTCGACAAATATAGAATAGGCAAAAGAAATGATAGTCCAACATTTATAATCATGAAGTACCTCAGTAAATCTTACATAAAGGCTTGATTATTTTGCCTAATAAGTTTAACTTCAGTTAAAAAACGTTACGAATCTTGTCTCCACTTTCTTACTGTTGAAGTATTTTTTTCTCAAGGTTAAGAAAAAAGCATCATGAACAACATCCTAGAGATTCTATGGACCATTCATATTGGTGCAGTCGTTGCAACTTTTCTTTTCAACACTGGACGTATTATAAAAGCAGTAGAAATCTTTAACGAATGTTTGGTGCTCCTTGACGGTAACGTCCTACAAACAATCAAAGAACTTACCACACCACTTGTTATCTATGTATATCATAAACTTCTTGATGGCTATACTCTTATGAACGATCACATTAGTGCGATAGAATGTGGTAAAAAACTTCACGTGGCACTACACAATAGTGGCAGAAACGAAGAAGAAGCGATAATATTAATTCAACTAGCGAACATTTATTATCAGAGAAGCCAATACGAGGAAACAAAAACGTTCTACGAGAAGGCACTCGGCATCATGATTGAGACTGGAAACAATCGCACAGTTGGAATGTGTTACGGAAATCTAGGAGCTGTGCTTCAATCTGTTGGTCAATATACCAAGGCTGAAGAATACCTTCAAAAAGCACTAGTGATCAGGAAAGAAATCGGTGACAAAGAAGGAGAAGCGGCAGATTACGGAAATCTAGGAACTGTCTTTCTTTCTGTTGGTCAATATTCCAAGGCTGAAGAATTCCTTCAGAAAGCACTGACGGTCAGGAGAGAAATCGGTGACAAAAAGGGAGAAGCAACAGATTACGGAAATCTAGGAAGCGTGTTTCAATCCGTTGGTCAATATACCAAGGCTCAAGAATACCTTCAAAAAGCACTGACGATCAAAGAAGAAATCGGTGATAAATCAGGAGAAGCGACATCTTACGGAAATCTAGGAACTGTGCTTCTTTCCGTTGGTCAATATACCAAGGCTAAAGAATACCTTCAGAAAGCACTGACGATTAGGAGAGAAATCGGTGACAGAAAAGGAGAAGCAGCAGATTACGGAAATCTAGGATCTGTGTTTCAATCTGTTGGTCAATATAATAAGGCTGAAGAATATCTACAGAAAGCACTGACGATCAGGAGAGAAATCGGTGACAAAGAAGGAGAAGCGTCAGCTTACGGAAATCTGGGAACTGTCTTTCTTTCTGTTGGTCAATATATCAAGGCTAAAGAATACCTTCAGAAAGCACTGACGATTAGGAGAGAAATCGGTGACAGAAAAGGAGAAGCAGCAGATTACGGAAATCTAGGATCTGTGTTTCAATCCGTTGGTCAATATACCAAGGCTCAAGAATACCTTCAGAAAGCACTGACGATCAAAGAAGAAATCGGTGATAAATCAGGAGAAGCGACATGTTACGGAAATCTAGGAACTGTGCTTCTTTCCGTTGGTCAATATACCAAGGCTAAAGAATACCTTCAGAAAGCACTGACGATTAGGAGAGAAATCGGTGACAGAAAAGGAGAAGCAGCAGATTACGGAAATCTAGGATCTGTGTTTCAATCCGTTGGTCAATATACCAAGGCTCAAGAATACCTTCAGAAAGCACTGACGATCAAAGAAGAAATCGGTGATAAATCAGGAGAAGCGACATGTTACGCAAATCTAGGAACTGTGCTTCTTTCCGTTGGTCAATATACCAAGGCTAAAGAATACCTTCAGAAAGCACTGACGATTAGGAGAGAAATCGGTGACAGAAAAGGAGAAGCAGCAGATTACGGAAATCTAGGATCTGTGTTTCAATCTGTTGGTCAATATAATAAGGCTGAAGAATATCTACAGAAAGCACTGACGATCAGGAGAGAAATCGGTGACAAAGAAGGAGAAGCATCAGCTTACGGAAATCTGGGAACTGTCTTTCTTTCTGTTTGTCAATATACCAAGGCTGAAGAGTATCTTCAGAAAGCACTAACGATCAGGAGAGAAATCGGTGACAAAAAAGGAGAAGGGGCAGACTACGGAAATCTAGGAACTGTCTTTCTTTCTGTTGGTCAATATTCCAAGGCTGAAGAATTCCTTCAGAAAGCACTGACGGTCAGGAGAGAAATCGGTGACAAAAAGGGAGAAGCAACAGATTACGGAAATCTAGGAAGCGTGTTTCAATCCGTTGGTCAATACACCAAGGCTGAAGAATACCTTCAGAGAGCACTGACGATCAAAGAAGAAATCGGTGATAAATCAGGAGAAGCGACATGTTACGGAAATCTAGGAACTGTGCTTCTTTCTGTTTGTCAATATACCAAGGCTGAAGAATACCTTCAGAAAGCACTGACGATCAGGAGAGAAATCGGGGACAAAGAAGGAGAAGCAGCAGATTACGGAAATCTAGGATCTGTGTTTCAATCTGTTGGTCAATATAATAAGGCTGAAGAATATCTACAGAAAGCACTGACGATCAGGAGAGAAATCGGTGACAAAGAAGGAGAAGCGTCAGCTTACGGAAATATGGGAACTGTCTTTCGTTCTGTTGGTCAATATATCAAGGCTAAAGAATACCTTCAGAAAGCACTGACGATTAGGAGAGAAATCGGTGACAGAAAAGGAGAAGCAGCAGATTACGGAAATCTAGGATCTGTGTTTCAATCCGTTGGTCAATATACCAAGGCTCAAGAATACCTTCAGAAAGCACTGACGATCAAAGAAGAAATCGGTGATAAATCAGGAGAAGCGACATGTTACGCAAATCTAGGAACTGTGCTTCTTTCCGTTGGTCAATATACCAAGGCTAAAGAATACCTTCAGAAAGCACTGACGATTAGGAGAGAAATCGGTGACAGAAAAGGAGAAGCAGCAGATTACGGAAATCTAGGATCTGTGTTTCAATCTGTTGGTCAATATAATAAGGCTGAAGAATATCTACAGAAAGCACTGACGATCAGGAGAGAAATCGGTGACAAAGAAGGAGAAGCATCAGCTTACGGAAATCTGGGAACTGTCTTTCTTTCTGTTTGTCAATATACCAAGGCTGAAGAGTATCTTCAGAAAGCACTAACGATCAGGAGAGAAATCGGTGACAAAAAAGGAGAAGGGGCAGACTACGGAAATCTAGGAACTGTCTTTCTTTCTGTTGGTCAATATTCCAAGGCTGAAGAATTCCTTCAGAAAGCACTGACGGTCAGGAGAGAAATCGGTGACAAAAAGGGAGAAGCAACAGATTACGGAAATCTAGGAAGCGTGTTTCAATCCGTTGGTCAATACACCAAGGCTGAAGAATACCTTCAGAGAGCACTGACGATCAAAGAAGAAATCGGTGATAAATCAGGAGAAGCGACATGTTACGGAAATCTAGGAACTGTGCTTCTTTCTGTTTGTCAATATACCAAGGCTGAAGAATACCTTCAGAAAGCACTGACGATCAGGAGAGAAATCGGGGACAAAGAAGGAGAAGCAGCAGATTACGGAAATCTAGGATCTGTGTTTCAATCTGTTGGTCAATACAATAAGGCGGTAGAATACTTTCAGAAAGCACTGACGATCAAAGAAGAAATCGGTGATAAATCAGGAGAAGCGACATGTTACGGAAATCTAGGAACAGTCTCTCAATCTGTTGGTCAATATACCAAGGCTAAAGAATACCTTCAAAAAGCACTAGTGATCAGGAAAGAAATCGGTGACAAAGATGGAGAAGCTGCAGATTACGGGAATCTAGGAACTGTGTTTTTATCTGTTGGACAATATACCAAGGCCGAAGATTACCTCCAAAAAGCACTAGTCATTAGGAAAGAAATCGGTGACAAAAAAGGTGAAGCATCAGATTACGCAAATCTAGGATCTGTGTTTCAATCCGTTGGTCAATATACCAAGGCTCAAGAATACCTTCAGAAAGCACTGACGATCAAAGAAGAAATCGGTGATAAATCAGGAGAAGCGACATGTTACGGAAATCTAGGAACTGTGCTTCTTTCTGTTGGTCAATATATCAAGGCTAAAGAATACCTTCAGAAAGCACTGACGATTAGGAGAGAAATCGGTGACAGAAAAGGAGAAGCAGCAGATTACGGAAATCTAGGATCTGTGTTTCAATCTGTTGGTCAATATAATAAGGCTGAAGAATATCTACAGAAAGCACTGACGATCAGGAGAGAAATCGGTGACAAAGAAGGAGAAGCATCAGCTTACGGAAATCTGGGAACTGTCTTTCTTTCTGTTTGTCAATATACCAAGGCTGAAGAGTATCTTCAGAAAGCACTAACGATCAGGAGAGAAATCGGTGACAAAAAAGGAGAAGGGGCAGACTACGGAAATCTAGGAACTGTCTTTCTTTCTGTTGGTCAATATTCCAAGGCTGAAGAATTCCTTCAGAAAGCACTGACGATCAGGAGAGAAATCGGTGACAAAAAGGGAGAAGCAACCGATTACGGAAATCTAGGAAGCGTGTTTCAATCCGTTGGTCAATACACCAAGGCTGAAGAATACCTTCAGAGAGCACTGACGATCAAAGAAGAAATCGGTGATAAATCAGGAGAAGCGACATGTTACGGAAATCTAGGAACTGTGCTTCTTTCTGTTTGTCAATATACCAAGGCTAAAGAATACCTTCAGAAAGCACTGACGATTAGGACAGAAATCGGTGACAGAAAAGGAGAAGCAGCAGATTACGGAAATCTAGGAAGCGTTTTTCAATCTGTTGGTCAATATAATAAGGCTGAAGAATACCTACAGAAAGCACTGACGATCAGGAGAGAAATCGGTGACAAAGAAGGAGAAGCATCAGCTTACGGAAATATCGGAACTGTCTTTCTTTCTGTTTGTCAATATACCAAGGCTGAAGAGTATCTTCAGAAAGCACTAACGATCAGGAGAGAAATCGGTGACAAAAAAGGAGAAGCTGCAGATTACGGAAATCTAGGAACTGTCTTTCTTTCTGTTGGTCAATATTCCAAGGCTGAAGATTTCCTTCAGAAAGCACTGACGGTCAGGAGAGAAATCGGTGACAAAAAGGGAGAAGCAACAGATTACGGAAATCTAGGAAGCGTGTTTCAATCCGTTGGTCAATATACCAAGGCTCAAGAATACCTTCAGAAAGCACTGACGATCAAAGAAGAAATCGGTGATAAATCAGGAGAAGCGACATGTTACGGAAATCTAGGAACTGTGCTTCTTTCTGTTGGTCAATATACCAAGGCTGAAGAATACCTTCAGAAAGCACTGACGATTAGGAGAGAAATCGGTGACAGAAAAGGAGAAGCATCAGATTACGGAAATCTAGGATCTGTGTTTCAATCTGTTGGTCAATATAATAAGGCTGAAGAATATCTAAAGAAAGCACTGACGATCAGGAGAGAAATCGGTGACAAAGAAGGAGAAGCGGCAGCTTACGGAAATCTGGGAACTGTCTTTCGTTCTGTTGGTCAATATATCAAGGCTAAAGAATACGTTCAGAAAGCACTGACGATTAGGAGAGAAATCGGTGACAGAAAAGGAGAAGCAGCAGATTACGGAAATCTAGGATCTGTGTTTCAATCCGTTGGTCAATATACCAAGGCTCAAGAATACCTTCAGAAAGCACTGACGATCAAAGAAGAAATCGGTGATAAATCAGGAGAAGCGACATGTTACGCAAATCTAGGAACTGTGCTTCTTTCCGTTGGTCAATATACCAAGGCTAAAGAATACCTTCAGAAAGCACTGACGATTAGGAGAGAAATCGGTGACAGAAAAGGAGAAGCAGCAGATTACGGAAATCTAGGATCTGTGTTTCAATCTGTTGGTCAATATAATAAGGCTGAAGAATATCTACAGAAAGCACTGACGATCAGGAGAGAAATCGGTGACAAAGAAGGAGAAGCATCAGCTTACGGAAATCTGGGAACTGTCTTTCTTTCTGTTTGTCAATATACCAAGGCTGAAGAGTATCTTCAGAAAGCACTAACGATCAGGAGAGAAATCGGTGACAAAAAAGGAGAAGGGGCAGACTACGGAAATCTAGGAACTGTCTTTCTTTCTGTTGGTCAATATTCCAAGGCTGAAGAATTCCTTCAGAAAGCACTGACGGTCAGGAGAGAAATCGGTGACAAAAAGGGAGAAGCAACAGATTACGGAAATCTAGGAAGCGTGTTTCAATCCGTTGGTCAATACACCAAGGCTGAAGAATACCTTCAGAGAGCACTGACGATCAAAGAAGAAATCGGTGATAAATCAGGAGAAGCGACATGTTACGGAAATCTAGGAACTGTGCTTCTTTCTGTTTGTCAATATACCAAGGCTAAAGAATACCTTCAGAAAGCACTGACGATCAGGAGAGAAATCGGGGACAAAGAAGGAGAAGCAGCAGATTACGGAAATTTAGGATCTGTGTTTCAATCTGTTGGTCAATACAATAAGGCGGTAGAATACTTTCAGAAAGCACTGACGATCAAAGAAGAAATCGGTGATAAATCAGGAGAAGCGACATGTTACGGAAATCTAGGAACAGTCTCTCAATCTGTTGGTCAATATACCAAGGCTAAAGAATACCTTCAAAAAGCACTAGTGATCAGGAAAGAAATCGGTGACAAAGATGGAGAAGCTGCAGATTACGGGAATCTAGGAACTGTGTTTTTATCTGTTGGACAATATACCAAGGCCGAAGATTACCTCCAAAAAGCACTAGTCATTAGGAAAGAAATCGGTGACAAAAAAGGTGAAGCATCAGATTACGCAAATCTAGGATCTGTGTTTCAATCCGTTGGTCAATATACCAAGGCTCAAGAATACCTTCAGAAAGCACTGACGATCAAAGAAGAAATCGGTGATAAATCAGGAGAAGCGACATGTTACGGAAATCTAGGAACTGTGCTTCTTTCTGTTGGTCAATATATCAAGGCTAAAGAATACCTTCAGAAAGCACTGACGATTAGGAGAGAAATCGGTGACAGAAAAGGAGAAGCAGCAGATTACGGAAATCTAGGATCTGTGTTTCAATCTGTTGGTCAATATAATAAGGCTGAAGAATATCTACAGAAAGCACTGACGATCAGGAGAGAAATCGGTGACAAAGAAGGAGAAGCATCAGCTTACGGAAATCTGGGAACTGTCTTTCTTTCTGTTTGTCAATATACCAAGGCTGAAGAGTATCTTCAGAAAGCACTAACGATCAGGAGAGAAATCGGTGACAAAAAAGGAGAAGGGGCAGACTACGGAAATCTAGGAACTGTCTTTCTTTCTGTTGGTCAATATTCCAAGGCTGAAGAATTCCTTCAGAAAGCACTGACGATCAGGAGAGAAATCGGTGACAAAAAGGGAGAAGCAACCGATTACGGAAATCTAGGAAGCGTGTTTCAATCCGTTTGTCAATATACCAAGGCTGAAGAATACCTTCAGAGAGCACTGACGATCAAAGAAGAAATTGGTGATAAATCAGGAGAAGCGACTTGTTACGCAAATCTAGGAACTGTGCTTCTTTCTGTTTGTCAATATACCAAGGCTGAAGAATACCTTCAGAAAGCACTGACGATTAGGACAGAAATCGGTGACAGAAAAGGAGAAGCATCAGATTACGGAAATCTAGGATCTGTGTTTCAATCTGTTGGTCAATATAATAAGGCTGAAGAATACCTACAGAAAGCACTGACGATCAGGAGAGAAATCGGTGACAAAGAAGGAGAAGCATCAGCTTACGGAAATATGGGAACTGTCTTTCTTTCTGTTGGTCAATATTCTAAGGCTGAAGATTTCCTTCAGAAAGCACTGACGGTCAGGAGAGAAATCGGTGACAAAAAGGGAGAAGCAACAGATTACGGAAATCTAGGATCTGTGTTTCAATCCGTTGGTCAATATACCAAGGCTCAAGAATACCTTCAGAAAGCACTGACGATCAAAGAAGAAATCGGTGATAAATCAGGAGAAGCGACTTGCTACGGAAATCTAGGAACTGTGCTTCTTTCTGTTGGTCAATATACGAAGGCTGAAGAATACCTTCAGAAAGCACGGACGATTAGGAGGGAAATCGGTGACAGAAAAGGAGAAGCATCAGATTACGGAAATCTAGGATCTGTGTTTCAATCCGTTGGTCAATATACCAAGGCTGAAGAATACCTTCAGAAAGCACTGACGATCAAAGAAGAAATCGGTGATAAATCAGGAGAAGCGACATGTTATGGAAATCTTGGAACTGTGCTTCTTTCTGTTGGTCAATATAACAAGGCTGAAGAATACTTTCAGAATGCACTGACGATTAGGAGAGAAATCGGTGACAAAAAAGGAGAAGCAGCAGATTACGGAAATCTTGGAACTGTTTTTCCTTCTGTTTGTCGATATACCGAGGCTGAAGAATATCTTCAGAAAGCACTGACTATAAGGAGAGAAATCGGCGACAGAAAAGGAGAAGCAACAGATTACGGAAATTTAGGAGCTGTGTTTCAATCCGTTGGTCAATATACCAAGGCTGAAGAATACCTTCAGAAAGCACTGACGATCACGAGAGAAATTGGTGACAAAAGTGGCGTTGGAGCTTCATATTTAAACCTGGGAAGTCTCTGTCGAGTTTCTCAGGATTATACCAAGAGTCAAGAATTTGTTAAGAAAGCACTCGAGATGAGTTACGAAATAGGGGACATCGAATTGCAGTTTTCCAGCCACCTTGGCATTGCTCTAAACACTTTATTGGCAGGAGAAGACATTACTGTAGTTGTGCGAAATCTCTATGAAAGCATTGAAAAGTGCGAAGAAATGCATGATTTCTTAAGAGGCAAAGACCAGTTCAAAATTTCTTTTTTCGATGAGCATGCGTCCCCCTACCATCTTCTTTGTTGGTTGTTTATTATGGCACGTAGTTATTATGACGCTCTTTACATTGCTGAGCTTGGGCGGTGCAGAGCACTGACAGACATACTGTCAGATAAGTATTCTGTGAAGAAAGAAATATCAGTCAACCCACAGTCATGGATTGGTATTGAGAATGTCATGGACACAAATGCCTTTAGTTCTTGTCTTTATGTTTCCTGTTTCGGTGTCCACATGTGTTTTTGGATCCTTAAGCCAAACAAAACCGTAGTGTTTCGACAAACGATTCTTGAAGGAAGTGCAGATAAATTGTTTGGAAATAAAAAAATTGGGGGCTCTCGGGATTTACGTCAAGAACAATGCGAAGATCGATCATTGTTTCCTTCATATGAAAGGTCCCCGCTATCATGCAAACCACCTCAGGATGAGAGCTCCTCAGATTTGTGTCTTATAGACACAAAGGAGGACGACGAAACACAGGACACTGGGCCACCAACCCTGGCCGATGGCTACAACATGATCTTCGCTCCTGTAGCTGACTTACTCCAAGAACCAGAAATCATTATCATACCGGATCGCTTGTTGTACCCAGTTCCTTTTGCAGCTCTAATTGATGATAATGGGAAGTATTTATCGGATACTTTCAGGATCCGTATTCTCCCTTCCTTGACGACTCTTAAGTTGATTCAGGACAGTCCAGCAGACTACCATTGTAAAACCAGTGCACTGATCGTAGGTGAGCCAGACGTTAGTGATGTATACTATCGAGGAAAAACTTGCCAATTAATCGCCTTGCCTTGGGCAAGAAAGGAAGCAGAGATGATTGGGCGACTGCTCGGTGTTGAGCCATTGTTAGGTGAGAATGCGACTAAGCAGGCAGTCCTGGAAAGAATGCATTCCGTAAGTCTTATTCACTTCGCCGCTCATGGTGATGCCGAACGTGGAGAAATTGCTCTTTCCCCTTCGGGGTCGCGTGGAATTCCAACTGAAGAAGAATACTTATTGACAATGGCTGAAATTTCACAAGTTCGACTAACAGCCAAGCTGGTTGTACTTAGCTGCTGTAATAGTGCAAGTGGCCAGATTAGAGCTGAGGGAGTCGTTGGGATCGCTCGAGCATTTCTAGCATCAGGTGCACGCGCCGTGTTGGCGGCACTATGGGCTATAGAAGACAAAGCTAGTATGCAGTTCATGAATCACTTCTATGAACACCTTATTCATGGTGAAAGTGCAAGTGAATCTCTTCACCAGGCCATGAAGTGGATGAGGGAGAATAAGTTTTCTGATGTCAGGCTGTGGGCGCCATTTATGCTAATTGGAGATGACGTGACATTTAAAGGTTTGTAGTTGATATCATTGTTAGGTGTTTCGAGCTATTTTGCGTCAAAATATGTGAAACTGATGTTCATGACAACGCATTGTTTTAAAAACTTGTTTTAGGGAAGCTCATTGTTTTGTTACTTTTTTTATTTACTGTCTTTTTCTCCTCTGTTATTTGTGTGGCAAATGAGCCAAGGGTAACTCCCTTTTCGCTTTCGTGTGTTCTTACACGGATAGGTTTCGGCAAGAGAGAATAATGAGATTATCCTTTCTTGGTTTTTGTTATCAATCTCCTCTTTTGTGTTGTTGGTTCCACGGAGAAGTTCCAAAATATGATTTAATTCAACTCAATTGGGTTTTTAAATAGGTTTCTCTATAGTTCTATTCGTAATCGAAATTTTTCACTTGAGGAGACTTTTGGGCAACCATTGCACGGGCAGCTTGGGCTGCAAGGGATAGCACGGTTGGTTTGATGTCAAGTTCCTTCTTCAAGATATATGACCAGTATGCCAACAGCAAACGAAGGAAATTAAGATTAAAGTAAAGGAATCGTATTTAATTAAGCTGAAAGTGATACAGTACGGCTTTTACTTCTAGCGTATAATTGATGTCCTGCAGGCCCAGGTGTCAACGTTTTGGGAGTTTTTGGTTGTCCAAAAAAAACTGTGTTAGAGAAATTCTCTAAAAGTTTAGTGCAATGAGTGACAGAAACATGTTGATCAAGACTAAAAAAAATCGTGCAAGAATCAAACGAAAGTGGCCCATCATGATCAGCTTTTCTGTTTGCAGGTGTCTTTGATAAGAGCAGTCCAAAAGATGGCAAAGGAGCTACGGGTCACAAAGGACCTCCAAACTGAAAGTAAACGTGTCGTTTAAGTTTAAAATGTTTCGAAAATACTTTAACTTTACAACTGCTATCAGGGTTGTACATAAATGAATATACCAAGGATCTCAGTGAAGTAGTCGTATGTGAGACTGCAAAGTGGATCGTTTTTGAACGTAGGCGCCATTTTGATACGTTACAGGCGAGGGTGCAGTATGAGCTGAGCGTAAACAGGAGAAATAGGCAGTATACAAGCAGTAGGCAGTTCGTCGTCCTTTCAGTGGAGGCGTGAAAGTTGTATATAACTTCTGAACCTCTGTCTACTATATTGGTCGGGGCACCTTTCGTTCTACGTGACTCCTGCTACTTTTCAATCCTGCGGCGCTTCACCCTCGTCTCAAAACAACCCAATCACTAACATGGGCACCAGCCGCTTTGGTTTGATGAGCTTGTAGATTTACTGATCATGATGAACGTGATCAAATGCCAAATAGATATCTAAGCTTGGGTAGTGAACGACTGTTCTGTGGTATATAGAGGTCTGTGTGTCAATACTATTGTTTAATTCGCCTCAAATCATTCACTAACAATATTTTATTTATCACTGTAGTGACAGTATTGAGCGGAACGTCGTTGTATGATTGAAATTATGTTCTCTCGACTTTGTATGGGGAGTGTTCCAATCCTTTGCCCTGCCTTTTCAAACTAGAAATGGGACTAACAAGTTACTATTTTTTTAGCAGAAAGTAAGTTTTATTGGGTATTTAAGCCCGATATTGATACATTTTAACACAAAGGATTTTACACCTTTACTATTGGTACCTAAGAGACGAATTTTTTAAAATACAAAGAACCTAGGCTAATTCCGAGTTGTCTCAAGTGAGGAATCTCAATTATGCAAAACGTTTTCTATTTTAATGCAAAAAAAAACAATTGTTAAGGGTAGTTTTCTGCACTTAGCCTCATTTTTAAAGCCAGGATTTTGGAACTCGGAAATAGGGACTTGAAGATGCAACCACGCGGACGACAACGAGAACGTCAAAAAACAATAGATTTAATAAGCAAAACAACAACTTCGCACGTGCATCACACTTTTTTGTACATTTATTTCCCGTTTTTGCACGACTACGACGTGATAATGCCTAATTTTGCGTTTCATGGAGGAGGTAAACAAGCAACGACGAAATTTTGTTTCTCTTTCTGAGCTTGAATATGGTCCCTTGAAATCCAGCTTCAGGAGGGTTCGCCTACAATTGCCAAAGTAAGTGGGTAGGAATAATCGCTATAAAGACTGAAACAACGCAAATTCATTTTTTAAGCGACGTTCTTGTCGCCGTCGCTTCGTTGGATCTTAAAGTCCCTAACAGGGAGCTTAAGCAGCGACGTTTTTGAGTGACGCACGCAACCCGGAAATGGGCTTTTTGCACTCTTGAGCAGTGATTTGAACAAATAATTAGACAAATCGTTTCTATAGGAGTAAAGACACTTAGCAATACAAATTTGATGGCGTCAAGGCAAAGAGAAAAATGCTTACTTCCGGTTGACGTGGATCTCTTAAAAACGTCGCTGCTTTAACTCCATGGTGGCCTGTTATAAAAGGAGCAGTGTTTAAGTGTCATATTTTGTAACCGCTCAAATGTCTATTTACAATGTTTTGCCCATGCCTTAAAACGTTTTGCAATAAAGGAAAGTTAGTTAATTAACCCGCCTTTCTAATCTGTTTAAATTTTAAATACCCAGCCCTGAAGTTTTAATATGTACACTTTATGAATGTCTTTTAATTCTTCACTTTCTAGAAGTTAATAGAAAAACAAGAAACAACATAGGCAACAAATCATGGAGAATATTGGATATGGCCTGGGTGTAACGCCATAACCCACTCTAATTATACCCAAAAAATTAAACACTACAGCAAATGAACTAAAACTAAAAGCTACATGTAAGTGTGCCAGGGTGGCCAGAAAAAACCTTTCCCAAACCCGATTGAGTCAGACTCGCTCTCACTTGTCGGTCCCGTACTTACTTAGAAACATCACCAACTAATGGCTTAATATGCCTCTTAAACTCCTCTCCTAAATAACGTGAATAAAGAAACACTTGCACTAGAATGAAAGTACAATATACCGTACTCCTAAGATTAAGCTTGGACAATTCTACGAGCTAATGGAAACGCAGAGGAGGTTTGAGGTGAGAATGTAATAAAACGCTAGGTCACAGTAGGGGACAAGGCCTCAGAGTTCAATATAGATCTACTTTCCGCTTGCAAGGCCACATAAATGGACATAAAACTATTACATATATATATTCTAGATAAAAGAACATCGCGATTTAGAGGCAAAATCTGCAGCAATCGCCTGACAGAACTAACAGAAAGCAGGTACTAATGCTGAACTGGGCGCGCAAGCGCAGCTTCTTTTGGCGTCCTCTAATTTAAAGGGAAACTTGAGCAAGGTGTGGCTAACAGAACAAACTTAAATACCAGCCACTGCATGGCCCCAATTTATACTGTAAATAGCAGATTCTCAATAAGATGCGCCAGTGTTATCCTCAGAACGCTAAGCTAACTTAGACAGATACAATGGGGTATGTAAAGTTTTTTCGAATAGCAGAAACACCAGTCTTCGATAAAGCCCCACTCACGCCACCACAATAAGCCAGACCCGTATTTTCAAGACTGTGGATGGAGCGTTAGCATCCAACTGCAAACCAGTCAGGCCTGGAACTGTATCCCGCAGCGAAGAATTAGTCAAGGGGGCAGTTTTAAGCCATAACCTAGAATTTAGGGCAACTGAAATAGAAGAAAATAGCGTAAAAATAAAACAACTACAGCGCTATTTACTTAACTGAAAAAAAAAACCTTGAACAAGGGAGGCGCTGAGCAAAATATTCGCTCAAAGAAGAATTGAAAAAATTATATTACAGGCCCAAAACAAGCCGACACCAAAATGACTTGAAACATGCCGAATCAGGCTCAAAAATAAGCTAAAGCAGGTTCACAGATATGCCAAATCAGACTCACAAATAAGCCAAAGCAGGCTCACAGATATGCCAAACAAGGCTCAAGATTATGCCAAATCAGGCTAAAAAATAAGCCAAATAAGACTCACATGCCGTACAAATATGCCAAACCGGGCACACAAATATACCAAATCAGGCGACCACATACGAGATCCAATGGAAAGAAAAGTCCAGTTATCTTTTCCACTTCAGTCTCGGACAAAGGCATCGGACACACCTACAATCAGGGGAAGCACACTAGGGGTCAAAACGCGGAATCTGAGCGCGCTATAATAGGATGTGAAACGGTTAAGATTGGTGCCAGGACCCCACTGGGCTTCAACGACTCGAAACACAGAGGGATTACCTGGCGAATCATCCTCGTCAATGAAACGGCGCAATAAATCAGCCTTCCCGTTGAGCGATCTAAGAATCCACTGCGCTTCTAAGGCAATACCATGCGAAAACAAACATGAAAAGTTCTTAGAGCCACCGACTGTATGGACCTTAAAGACACTAAAGGAAAGTACTCTGGCAGCACGTACTCGGGTTGTCAGTGAAAATTTTCACCTTCCTGTGCTTTAACCGCTCTATAAAAAAAAGCAAAACATAAATAGTTATCAATTCGCAAAAAATAGAACTTTGGCCCAAATAATCGATCGTGAACATAACGCTATAGCCACAGGGCGGAAAAGCGGCGAAATGAAGCGTCGCTTGCGTCGGGAAATACAACTGCGGAAGAATAGGGGGGGGGGCGGGGAGTGAATGGAGTTACCGTTTAAAGAGTCAATGTCACAAAAACGAAAACTTCAGTTCTTCCAGCCGAGGGGGAGTGAAGCGAAAAAGGTGATCCTAAGCTGATTAAGACTCCGTAGCTACCTACGTCTGGCTTGTATGAAGAGGGGAATGGGCCCCACCGCTAAGGCAACTGAAATAATGGAACCAGCCATCCCAGCTGAGTGCGATAGAAAGATGACTCATTTTGAATAGACGATATTCGTATTCCCCGACGGCCCTGGGACGAGAGACTTCACAGCATGATTGCGAGGCTAAAGCGGGGAACTTTTTAGCAAAAACACAAACAAACATTGGTTAGTCGCGGCTGAATCGCTGCAAAACGATAGAAATCAGCAAAAAACTGCAAGGTTTAAAAGCTAAAACCTTACGGGTAAGCTAAAGGGATATCTGTTTCAAAAAACAAAACTGT